TTAGGTTTCTATCTCCATTCCCTTTTTCTTTCATTTTCTCTCATCAAGATCGCTGATTTCTCACATGGGCAGTGTTTTTTTCCATTAAAAATTGAATTTTTATGACAATTTTCACTGAAAGATTATATTTCTTTTGTTCTGTGAATTTCAATTTCATGTTTTGATACTGAATGTAACTTTAGGATTTTGGGCATTTTTCAATCATGGGTTCAGAATGTCACTGAAAATTTGACTTCTGACAGTTACATTTTATCAGTACTAAGGAAAAATTACTACTTCTTGATAGGCTATGGCTACAGTTACAAAGAAAGTGATAGCTATATGTCAATCAGGAGGTGAGTTTGTGAGCAACAAAGATGGATCAATGTCATACAATGGAGGTGATGCTTATGCAATTGACATTGATCAGGAGACTGTTTTGTCTGATTTCAAGTCTGAAATTGCTGAAATGTTTAACTGCAATGTGGACACCATGAGCATTAAGTACTTCCTTCCTGGCAATAAGAGAACACTCATTACGGTTTCGAAAGACAAGGATTTACAACGCATGGTTAGTTTTCTTGGAGATGCTACCACAGTTGATGTGTTTGTGTTAACTGAGGAAGTGGCGGCTCGAAACACGTCCAACATGCCTGCTAGTAGGTAGTTGTTATTCACAAGTTCTTTTGTTTTATCATTCCTTATGTTCATTTTAATAGTCTTTTGTTATATAGTTTAAATTGGTTCATAATTGTAGAAATTGCTTTATATGATGTTAGAGAGTTGTACATTTTTCTTTTTACCATATTTTACATCTTGATCATCAGTATCTATGATACATGTGACTTGTATATCGTTACAAAACTAAATTGAATTGATACAAATCTCTAGTGTGTATGAACATGAACCTCATTAGGAAGAATTCCAATTCATTATGATGAGATTTACGATTTATAAAGTAGGTCTTTAAATTCACTATTTGATAGCCATGTTTCATATGTTTCTAGATGAAAATGTGACCTCCATAGTTGGGATGTTGTGGTTGGGACCAATATGAATGGCCATAGCATCATGGTTGCCAACATCTCGATTTAAATATTCAAATCTTAAGATTTTACGTTCTCACTCACCTCCAAGTCCAACGATCTTGATCATTGATTATGAGGGATCTTGGCCACTCTCAGCCATGATCGGTCGTTTTCCGCCCACCACCAAGATGCAGAGGCGCAATAATTACGGTTCGAAGGTGATGAATGCATGCCTTTTGAAATGATGAGGTTTTGCTTTAGGGTTTAGAGAATAAACATGTCAGTTGTAGGGTTTGTTTAAAATTAGACCAAATATGTAACTAATGTCTAACAAATTCTTGTGATAAATGGTAATAAAGTATAAAAACTTAATCATACACAGTCCAAAGAATATAAAAGGTCATTTTCCCATGAATACACTTGCCTAGCAACATATCATGTAAAAATGCTTCAAATATCTAGTGTTATTTTTCATTTTAGTAGTATCTTACAATTTCTATTACGAATCATGATCTTATGTTTTACAATCTTGCCATCCCCTGTCGATCTTATAAAAATAATTGAGTGGAATCTTCCAATCTTAATTACGATCTTATGTTTTATGATCTTGTTATCCCCTCTCGATCGTATGCAAGATCCCGATTTTGACAATCTTGCATAGCTTATAGTATTAAACAATTTATATTCATATGTATCTACTTGTTAATTGTTTTGATAATTTTATTGAACTTATGGTAATGCAGGTCAAGCAGGACAACCGTGTCAGAAGCTGTTGTTCCTGATGTTCTCCCTATTAATATAGCAGCCATTGATGCCGCACAATCCATCGAACAAGTTGAGATAGATGTAGCTAATGAAGCCCCTGCTCAATCTCTTTGTTCTGGGGCCAATGATGATAAGCGTCATAGAGCAGCACAGCAGTGGGAAAATACCATCACTGGTATCGACCAAAGGTTTAATAGTTTTAGCGAATTCCGAGAGGCGTTGCATAAATACTCCATTGCACATGGTTTTGCTTACAGGTATAAAAAAAATGACAGTCATCGTGTCACGGTCAAGTGTAAATCTCAAGGCTGTCCCTGGAGAATATATGCGTCAAAGTTGTCAACCACTCAGTTGATTTGCATCAAGAAAATGACCGCAAATCATACTTGTGAAGGATCAGCTGTCAAAGCTGGGTATCGCGCTACTAGAGGTTGGGTGGGAAGTATTATAAAAGAGAAACTGAAAGCTTCACCCAATTACAAGCCAAAGGATATTGCAGATGACATAAAGCGCGAGTATGGGATACAGTTAAACTACTCTCAAGCATGGCGTGCAAAAGAAATTGCTAGAGAGCAACTCCAAGGCTCCTATAAAGAAGCATATACTCAATTGCCATTCTTTTGTGAGAAGATAAAAGAAACAAATCCAGGTAGTTTTGCAACATTTACGACGAAAGAGGACTCGAGTTTCCATCGCCTTTTTGTATCATTCCATGCCTCATTAATTGGCTTCCAGCAAGCCTGCTGCCCTCTCATTTTCCTCGACAGAACTCCTTTAAACTCAAAGTATCAAGGAGAATTATTAGCTGCAATTTCTTTGGATGGAAATGATGGCATTTTTCCTGTAGCCTTTGCTGTAGTAGATGCCGAAACTGAAGACAACTGGCATTGGTTTCTGCAGGAGCTGAAATCAGCTTTATCAACATCTGAACAGATTACATTTGTTTCAGATTTTCAAAATGGGCTAAAAAAGTCATTGTCTGAGATATTTGAAAACTGCCACCATGGCTATTGTTTACGTCATCTTGCTGACAAACTGAACAGGGACTTGAAGGGGCAATTCTCTCATGAAGCCAGACGTTTCATGGTTAATGATTTTTATGCCGCTGCATACGCATCCAAACCTGAAATTTTCGAACGTAGTATTGAGAATATAAAAGGTATTTCTCCTGAAGCCTACAACTGGGTCATACAAAGTGAGCCAGAGCATTGGTCCAATGCATTCTTCAATGGAACTAGGTATAATCATATGACATCAAATTTTGGACAGCAATTTTACAGTTGGGTCTCAGAGGCGCACGAGTTGCCAATTACTCAAATGATTGATGTGTTACGAGGTAATATGATGGAAACAATTAGCACACGACGAGAGGAGTCTAATAAATGGATAACAAAATTGACACCTTCCAAGGAGGAAATGATCCAAAAGGAAGCGTCAGATGCTCGCTCACTACAAGTGTTGCTCTCACAAGGTACCACATTTGAGGTCTGTGGAGAATCTGTTGAAATTGTTGATCTTGATAATTGGGATTGTAGCTGCAGGGGATGGAAACTTAGTGGCCTTCCTTGCTGCCATGCTATTGCTGTCTTTGATTGTGTTGGTAGGGACCTATATGATTACTGTTCCAGATACTTCACAGTTGAGAATTACAGATTAACATATGCAGAACCAATTCATGCTCTTCCGGATATTGACAGACCAGTCCAGGTTGAACCGGATATGGCAGTTACCATAGTAACTCCTCCACCAACTAAGCGGCCTCCTGGCCGGCCAAAATCAAAGCAGGTTGAATCCATAGACATGATTAAACGTCAGCTTCAATGTGGCAAATGCAAAGGGCTTGGCCACAATCGAAAGACGTGCAAACTTCCATAGTTTTGCAGCATAGTAAGTCTCTCTCAGAAGTTTTTTTTCCTGCTATGTCTCCATATAAGACAGTGTGTCATGATGCATCCCAAATTTGAGAGTGTGTTTTTGATGTTTGATACTATAACAGTGAATTTGCAGCTACTGTCTCATATGTTTTATTACTTTTATACCATCCTTGTAGATGCTTAATACTGGTTGTTTGGAATTATATGATTATTTTTACCAGCAAGTAACGGACATTGACAATTTCTGTGTGACCAGGGAATTTTGAATAAAGCTAGATGCAAATATTTTCACCCTTGATAGAGAATGGCAAGGGAGTTACATTTTAGTGGTTATATGGATCTGGTTTGAGTCTCCAAATGCAAGTGCTTCCTATCTAGAGATTAGTCGGTTTATTTTTTCTTGTTTCACTCTCGATCAATTGTTTTCAGGCTGAGCACAAATAACTTCAATTTTGATAGAACCAAGACCATGTGTTTTTCTGTATGGACTTTGGCCATTGCCATTTTCTAATAATTTAAATTGATTGATTTGATGGAATAATGTTCGGGGGAGCCATTTTTAGTATTCAAAGTTGTACAAGAACTCTGTGATTTCTTCTTGACGTCATGATTTGTGGGAGATATCTTGAGCTACAAGCAAGAGGTTTTTGAATGATATGTATTTAGAGATATTTTCATTATTGAAGTTTAAGATTAATTTCTCCTTATTGGAGACAAATGTAGCTTTGTTTTTAGCCCAAAAAAGTATGTATGTTTATGTGCTTTTGCTTTTCAAGCATTCCATAGAATTCATTCTGCCACGATCATTTTGTCATACAAATGGCCTAAATGAGATATAGTTTGAATACTAAGAAATAACACTTTAATCTCATGAAATATTCTCACAAAAATAAAAAAACTGGAAGAAGCTAAATCAATCGAGAAAACACATACATGAAAAGGCCAAAAAAAAAAAAAAAAACTTGTTCTAATTTACTTTCGTTGCTTTTATTTTATCATACAAAATCAAATGAATCAAACGGTGCATCTGTGTTGTTTATGACACGTACACGCCGACATGAAAACCGCAAAATGAAAACCAAAAAAAAAAAGCAGTAATAATGAAACATACTTTGTTTCTATAACTGACACGTAATATTCCACATGTTCTTAAACAAGCCACGTTGCATGTTACCCTGCAACCATGTCCCTCAACTCCTTTCTTATAAACTTCCTTCATACTAACCTCTCTCATTCATTCAACCACTTTCTCTTCTCTCAAATTCTTCCTACATTACAATTTGCAAATCACAAAAATAAGTTTCCATTTCTGTCACATTTTTCCCTTTCATTTTGTTCTTGTCACACAGATCAGATGATGGCTACAAGGGTTGTTTTGGTTACATTTGTGTTACTTGTGTTGTTTGCCATTAACTGTAACTCCTCTAGTGTTGGTCACACGCCCTCAAAAGAAGAGGAAGGTCGTGATTTTCAAGATGTGAAAGCCAAGACCACAGAAACTGCCAACAAAGCATCAGAAACTGGAAAGGAAGGGAAAGAAGCCGCAGAAACATGGACTGGATGGGCCAAAGAGAAACTCACTGAAGGACTTGGCTTCAAAGATAAGGATAGCGCCACTCACAAAGCATCTGACTGTGCTTCAGACACTGCACAGAAAACCAAAGACTATGCTTCTGATACTGCACAAAAAACCAAAGATTATGCAAGTGAAACTGCACAAAAGACCAAGGAAACTGCTAAGAAAGCCTCTGATCAAGCCCAAGATGCTGCTGAGAAAACCAAAAACAATGCTTGGGATGCTTCTAAAAAGATAAGAGATTATGCCACTGATGCTGCGGAGAGGACCAAACACTGTGCCGGTGATGCTACTGAGGAAACTGGTTGTTATTATGCAGACGATGCTGCAGAGGACACCAGAGACTTTGCTGGTGAAGCTTTGCATAAGGCTAAAGAATATGCTACTGATGCTGCACATAAAGCTGCACAGAAGGCCAAAGAATATGTCACTGGGGCCGCGTACAAATCTAAAGAATATGCGGGTGATGCAGCGGAGAAGACTAAAGAGTATGCAGGTGAAGCAGCGGAGAAGACCAAAGATGCAGCATACAATACAAAAAACTATGCCACAGGGAAGGCCAAAGAGTATGCAGGTGATGCAACGGAGAAGACCAAAGATGCAGCATATAAAACTAAAGATTATGCTGGTGATGCAGCATACAATGCTGCAAAGAAGACTAAAGAGTATGCAGGTGATGCAGCGGAGAAGTCCAAAGATGCTGCATACAAGACAAATGACTATACAGCAGAAAAGGCGAAAGAGTATGCGAGTGATTCTGCAGAGAAGACTAAAGATGCTGCACAAAAGGCCAAAGACTATGCTGGTGATGCAGCATACAATGCAGCACAGAAGACCAAAGAATATGCTGGTGATGCAGCACAAAAAACCAAAGAATATGCTGGTGATGCTGCACAGAAAACCAAAAATGCAGCATATAAGACCAAAGACTATGCTGGTGATGCTGCACAGAAGGCCAAAGATTATGCAGGTGATGCAGCATACAAGTCAAAAGAGTATGCCAATGATGCTGCAGAAAAGACCAGAGAGTATGCCAATGATGCTGCACAGAAGACCAAAGAGGCTTCGTATAACTCCAAAGACTATGCTAGTGATGCTGCTGAGAGGACCAAAGAGGCTTCTGAATCTGCAAATGATGCTGCTCAGAGGACCAAAGATGCTTCAAAATATGCAACTGATAGTGCTCAGAAGACCAAAGATAAATTGAGTGGAAGACGTGGAGATGATGAGCTTTGAGCTATCTTATCAGTTGTTTTGCCTCAAGTGTTGTATAATTCTGGTGTCATAAAAGAGAAAATCCTATGTGTGTATATAACTTTGTAGTATGTTTCTTTGTTTTGTTGTTTACTAGTGCTGTGTTTGGTCTCTCATGTTAGCAACCACATAGATCAAGTTGGAACATTTTGTCTCAATGTCGTATATGCTTTTGTTTTTCTAAAAGCTTAAGAAATAATAGTTGCAATTCTCACAGCATTTTCTACTTCTATAAATATAATTATTTTCATGTACCAAGAAATATATTTATTTAGACGTATATTTTGGATCTAAATATTTTTCTGGAGGTGTAAGTAGAAGCCCATTAATGAAGCATACAAACCCAAAGGTATTGTGAAACTAAAAATGGAAAATTATACCCCATATCCCATTATTTATATGCCTTGTTTCAAGGAGTAAAATTATAATCTTTGGAATATTATTTCTTGAAAGTTTCAAGCCATAATATTTGAAACAAACATGGAATTCAAAAAATTTAAATTATATTTCTGGGAATAATTTTGGAATGAAAATCAAAATACCCCTATTATAAATACTCACATTTTTAATTCTTTTTTAATTTCATTTTAAAGAAACCGACAACAGTTGCAAATTGGAGAACACGGAGTAAATATAGCTTATTCACTCTTTTGATTACAAATATTTTTTACACATCGAATAATTTGACATATGATTATTTGGTTTACATTATTGCTAATATTTTTTATCGAAGAATTTGACCAAGGTTATAAGTTGTTATTTGATTATCATTTGACCAAGGTTATAAGTTGTTATTTGATTATCATTTTTTGTTGTTATTTTTAGTGGCACAAACAGAGAATTATTCAACAAGGTGAAAGACGACAACTTCAATAGATGATGGATGGAAAGAAATATCAAATAGTCGCATCTTAGTCTCGTTCACAACAACCACAATTTCTCAGAGGATTGTACGATACATCTCTCCTGATGAGGTATTAGGATTTTGTTGCTCGCCATTTATGGTAAAGGAAGGTAATTTAATCTCTATCATTAAATGTTATCATTTTTAATTTTAATTACTTATATTTTATAACATATATTATAAATTTTTTTAAGCGGAGAAAGAATTAAAAATTGTTACACATGATAGCAAATTGATAGGATGAGTTCCACTCAGTCTCTCACAGTTGATAGAGAGTTGATTGTATGACTCTGGTTTATCCTCTCTCTAGAGAATCGATTTGTCAAAGGTAGATCAAAATTTAATATCAACCTTTGTAGAGAGACTCATCTAGGAATATCTTCCTTTCATATGCCATTTGCAAAATGACTATTATATTAGACGATGTTTATTGTCTTCTTTATATTTATCAGTGAGTTTTGAGACCCTGCACGAGTTCCATTGATGTTGATGCTATTATTCTTGCTATTGATATGTTGGTTGTTCTTTTAGGGAGACAGCTAGAGAGGTATGTAATTTTAAGGGTGCTTATTATAGAATGGATTGGTTGAAGGAGGTATTTATGCGTCAACGAGCTAATAGTAGATTTGACTGTGCAATTAGAGTCTATATGTTATTGTTGGTAGGTTGTATCATTTTTGCTGACAAGACTTTTACTCTTGTAGAGGAAAAGTATATTACTATTTAGGGACTTGGCTGGATGTGGTGGATATAGCCGAGAGCAGTTGTACTTGTTAGACTCTATAAATATTTAGGAGATGCTTTCTTCTTTAAGTTTAAGCAGTTAGAAAGATATGCCTCTCTGTTACAGGTATAAATATTTATATTTTTACTTTATTTATTTATAATTATTTTAATTGATAATATTCATATTGTGTAATAATATTGGATTCATGAATATTTTTTAACTGTTGGCAAGAGAGGATTATCTAGGATTGTTGGTAGCAGTAGTCCACTTCCAAGGTGATGCAATGGGTTTTCAAACAAGGAGCACAAAATGTTAATGAGCTTAGGCATGTGTTGGATGCATTAACACATGCTGATGTCATTTGACGCCCTTTTGAGGATTATAGAGAGCACCGTCTATTTGATGATATATGTTTGTACAGGGGTGACTTGAAATGGTATGACGCAGTTGTATTATACTTACCTGACAATTGTATGTGTCAGTTTGAATATAGGTAATATATACCGCATCTACCTCCTGATTCTGACACACTTGATGTGGATGTTGAGTGGATTGGATATCATGCGAGTATGATGAATATGATCTGTCCGACAATTTTTGCTACCATCCCATATGATGTGGCCACTGGTTACTTTGATTGGTACTATAGGGTGTCACATCCTCGTTTGGTACCACCACATTAAGAGGAGGTGAGAGAAGTCTATGTTTATATCTCTTACGAAGGACCGTCAGATCCAAGGTTAACATTTATTTCACACAAGCTTCATTGTTATTTACATCGTCACGAGGCTGATGAGGAGGATGGTGATTTTGCTGAGATATTTTGAGCACTATGTGTAGCTTAAGGAGGACTAGTACCTCAGGCTGATGAGGAGGATTGATGCATTATTATTTTTGAGACTTATGTAGTATTTTCATACTTATGCAATATATTTACTATTTCGAGACTTATGTATTTTGATACTTCTTTACTATTTTAAGACTTATGTAATATAAATATAACTTGAATTCAATATAACATAAAGTCAATTGTCAATATAATCTAAAATATAACAATCACATTACAATTATATTCTAACATATTGTTGCACTACATGCCTAAGGTGTTGCCAATGTTTTAACCATTCAGTAAATTTTATCATCCAAGAAATTGCATCTGGTGTGTAAAATTTCTTGTAAAATTTCTTTCAATCCAATGTGATCATTGGCAATGAAAGTCCTTTATTAATGTTTACCTGTTTAGAAAATCAATATCTAAAGAAAATAAGTAAGGTATAAATGATAAATATATAATTTACTTAATAAACATGAATATTTAATTACCTGAAGATTTGCTATCACATAACCCATATTTGATAATGTCATCTATTTCTCTGGTGGTTGAGGACCTAAAGATGACATCATCAAGGATTTTCTCACTTCTAGTAAGCGATTTCCAAGTAACTTCTCATAGAGACTGTTCATAGAACCTATAATTTCATTATCCAGGTCACGACGAATGATTGTCCAACCATCCTCACCATATCCATGTAATGATTCAATGACTCTAAACCCATAATTTCCATCACTCTTGAGATCAACAATATCATCAATAAATGGTATGATATGATATGTAAATTGTACCATGAAATTATTAGATTGTTGCTTCTTCGAGGCTTGAGATAACTGTGAACATGACCTCTTTGATGATTTTTGAGAACTCGAGTTTGCTTGATTAACATACTCATGATATGAGGGTTCATGATAAATATCATATCCCACATGTTTCTTCCCTTTCTACACCTATCCTTTGGTTTTTACTTTTTCAGGGTGGACACATCATTGTTGTAGTGAGGTAAGAAATTTCACACACCCTACTTTTTAGTGTTATTTTTCCTGCAACACCTAGTAACCTGTACCTTTTTCACAGTGCATCCATTATATTGGTCATGTCCACCTCTGATCCATCCTCTGCATCTACCTTTTTTCACCTTCTATGCTTAGCTTTCTTCAACGGATATGAATAACATCAATTGGTATCGGATCGCCACTCAATGTGTATCTCTCTAACTCACAAGAACAAGGTAACCCCTGAACTTTTATATGAGTACACCCGCATATTTAGGTGTTTGTAACCATAATATCAACCCTCAACCACTCTTCAGCAATGTGCCTCAAACAACTCTTACATAAATCCATGCAAATTCCTATAAAAGGGACTAGTGTGTGCATGCTCAAATTCATAAAATATCTTATGAACTGAAGCTATAATATTACCCAGTTGTACCTTGATATTTCCATTCATAGCCTCCCAACATTTGCACATATCACCTAAGCTATTCTCCATCATCTTCTTTAGTTTCCAATGCGCGGACTCAACCGTAAAAAAACAAACCAGTATCCATAGTGTTAAGATAAACAAACTATGTCTAAAATAAACATACCTATTAGTCATGGTGTTTCCCAAATGCAACAATTGATTGATTCATGCTCCAATAAATCTATGCCTATGAGGAGTCAACCATGTGTCTTTCACATGATAAAAAATACTCTAAGATTAACACATGCGTGCTCAAGTTGTTTCAACTGTTGATGGTACTCCACCTTATCACTAGCCCTTACAGGTTCATGCCATAGTTTATCTATCGACTCTCACATATCATTCATAACATATTCCTTGCACTTCAATTTTATATTTTTATTGTGAAATCTACAAAGCAAATTAATTGTCCTTGGAAATACTATTTTAATTGCTTTTATCAAAGCAAGATCTCCATAAATAAAAATCACTTGTGGCCATAATCCTTGCTTAATAAACAGTTTTTCAACTTATGTAATACTCAACTAAAGTTCTCTATCTACTCAGATTCCATATAGGCAAATGCAACAACAAATGTTAACTTAATTGACGTTATACCAACTAATTCAAGCAGATGTTGCCTATACTTGTTTGTATTATACATGATGTTCATAATCAACACAATAAGAAACATATTCAACAACTTCACTGATTCTGGATGCGCCCAGAAAATATCTCTGACAACTTCTGACTCATATTTTTTCTACTCCAGTAAATATAATTTGAATCCTCTATCAACTTAAACAAATATTGCATTTATGTTCTAGGACCCCTGATGTATTTTTGTAACTTACTCTTATGTTTATATATTTGCGTGATCTGATTGTCATTCTCTAGATCTTGTTCTTTCAATGACAATAGTATGTGTCTTTATGGAATATGACATTTTGTCAAATCAACAATATGTTGTTGTTCATTCATCTGCATTTAGTCGAGCTACAAGAGAATGACCTCCACATCTCTCAGGTAAGTCATGGTTGTAAAGTCCATATTTTATATAAATCTTCTATCCA